CCAGTTTTAATATTAGGGAGGGGGGGCCCTTTAATAATAGGGGGAAGGGATTACGGTCGTGGTCATCAAAATCAGAACGGGAAGTAGAAAAGGGGATTGATAACAACACTATATCACATTCAAAAAAGTTGTTCCCATGACCGAGAATGGCCTGTCACGTCCTGAAAACAATGACAGGTCGCCGTGCAACACGCAGATTGCCGAGGCAGCCGAGTAATTCTGCAGCATCCTTGGGTGCTAGCCGGCAACCGCTCACAAGATACTGAACTAGCATGGTCTCCCTCCGAGTATATACTCTTGAGAACCAGCAGAAAATCTTGCTCAGCGGTACAGGCATCGGAATCCTGAAGGCACGTCCCACGAAAGTCAGCCCAACAGGAAAAGTCCGCATTGGATGCTAATAGTGCCTGCTGCGCCAAGCCTGGGCCAGCTCATCTGCTGACATCCGAAACCGGCCCTTGCCAGCAGGAAGTCCATGCTATTTTGGCCCGGCTCAACCTCGCTTCAACACCTGACCACTCCTGGTGCTAAGCTGCCCGCGCCCGTAGAGCTTTCTACTGACTTTGATTACTTTTGTCCATGCTGAACCTTTCGGACAGTGCCACGCTTGCCTGTCATTCCACTCTGGTCTGACCTGGATGGTCTGTCCGCCAGACGCGGATTCACTACATGGGTGATGCTACTTGGTACCACAAAAGGATCCGTGCGGCAGGTCGCCCGAACGTACCGTATAAGTGACAGCCTGCTCGTGCCGCGCCTCGTGGGGCACGCAGCCAAGCCAACAGCTCTGGAAGTCTGTCCTGCGGATTTGAACAGTTGCTCAGAGAAGTCCTGGAGTTTGCACCTTTTGTAGCCAACAAAAAACTCCCCATTAGAGCCCTTTGCCTTTGACACCGTAATGCCCTGATAATTCTTACAAGTAACGCCCTGAAACCCCTCGGTGAGCATCGGATGCTTCCCCGGGTCCGGGAGGTCCACACCCGCGAAGCTTAGCTCCAAGCCTCGGTTCGGAGAAGGAAGAATATTTGACTGTGCCAAGTCGACGGGTGACGTCATCTGCAGAGCAACGAACCAGAAACGTCTGCTCCCGCGACGATCAAGCTAAGATACGTTTGGGTATGTCCGGACTCTGCCGCGAGGCCTTAGCTGCTAAAGAGAGAATGTCTGTCTGGATGATAGAACTGAGGCTTTCCTGGCAGCAACATCGACGTGCACAACCACAGGAAAAGTCCAGACCGATCTATTCACAAAACATGGTGGAACGGCCGCAGGCCAATCATGTGCTGCTGAAGTCACCACAACCCTTACGCGTGAGGCCAGCCAGTCAGGCAGGAAGCCCGCTGAGCCTTGCAGCATGGGCCAGCATGGGTCATGGTAACTTTCGGCTTGCAGCCTCACCTTGCGAACTGGTTTCGCGTGTGTACGATTGCCATGCTAGCACTTGCACTCCTCCAAGCTCCGATTCTTACCCTGCAGCCGCACCTTCGGTCTGCATCGGGCAATCGGACACAAGCCCGCGCTGTTCATGACACTCATTTGCAAGCAGGTTAGGCTGTGCTTGGGTTTAGTGAGTCAGCAGGCTCAGTCAAAGTGAACAGAAGCTCAAGGTAGGCTAACCGTGGAGGCTTGCTTGGGATGGGGCTGAAACATGCACGTTAGTCTGCCGCGTGGAGTGGTGCATTCTGCATTGAATTCGTGCACGTTCCTGAAGCCGACCCTGCTACAGATCTGGCAGTCGAGCTGGTCCCGTATGTCGTATGTCCCAAGAAATCCCGACAACTAAAACCGAAACTAAACACTATCCTAGCTGCAACTTTAGTCGCCACAAGGAGCCCAAATCACTCCAAAAACGAGCTTCTTCTGGCGTGCGACTGGCTTTCGGGATGGCATTTTTTCGCGACCGTTCTGCGAAGGAAAACTGCACGTGAAACAAATCCTCAACTGAGCAACGCTGTTCCAGACATGGAGTGGGGCAATTCCACAATTATATCTTCTGCCCAACATGCCTGGGCGTTGCGTGCTCACATGACCAAGTCATGCCGAAGCCAGGCCACCACATTTAGGCCTCACATGCGGGACACGCTGAGCGGCGAGGGCTCCCTATGTCGCGAGTCGGGCCCTCTCTTTTTGACTTGGCATTGGACGCCCCATGGCATGAACTGTGCCATGTCCTCCTTCAAGTTGGGACCTGAAGCGGTGTCTAGAATCAACGGTGTGCAGATGTTTTGTGTCCAGCGGGTTCTTCCTGTTTAGAATCAAGGACCATAAACCCTCTCAAAGTCTTTTCACACGTAGTTGCTGCATGTTGTGGCTGTTTTCGCGGAAACATGACATACTCGCTGTCGACGCACATGAGCACTAGGAACTCAGAATTGACGGAGTCTCACGCAACCCTGGCAAAGAGCTTCAAACCAAACCTGCAGATGTATCAGTTATCTGTGTGGATCTGATATGCTCGCTCTGACCTCTGAGGGCTGATCCACTATCGTCGCCGTACCGAGCCTGACTGGCAAACAAATGCGCAAGCGGTTACGCTCTCTTAGGCAACCCGAGCACGGTTGCTTTCATTCGGTTGAGAACCTACGGGACTGATAGTTGGGACGAACCTGGTTTCTCTCCAAACTCCGAAAGCTTCAAGTTAGCACGGCGGAACATGCTCTCTTTTCACAAGCGATTCGTTTTCGTTTACTGCACATATTTCAATCCCATGCAGCTCTTTTTTGCCAGGCATCTGGAACCACGATGAACATGGAAACAAGCAACTTCACTCTCGAGGTTTTCATCAAAGACTGAAAGACACGAATTACTTAACCAGTGGACCCAAAAAAGGCTGGACTCTGAACTGCAAAACAGGCTGTTCTTCAGGGGCCTGCGTGGTTCCCCAGGCGGAGGTGCGTCGGTTTGGTGAGATACTCTCGCCCTCAAGGCTGGCTTTCTCAGGGCTGCTTGATGTCCAATCGATGGCTTAAGGCTTAAGGCTAAAGGTGTCATGCTGGCTTTCAGGCGTTCTTTAATCAATCAAAACCCCCTTGTGTCGGTGAAAAGCGGCTTTGTGCGCAGAAACAGGTGCTGGCGGCTACGCCCATGGCAAGGTTCAAGACTGCAGGATCAAGTTGCTGGGACACAACTTGGTTTTCGAGGCTGAATGTCTGGAGCTTCATCGGATTCATGGCGTGTCTGCAGCCATGATGACGAAGGCCTTCGTATGCTACCTCACAGCTTTCCACGCAAAGGCATCTGTGTGAAGCCGCCGCCTGCAATTTGCCAACCACTTACCAGCATCTCAAACATTCAACAACCTGAGATGGGTTTGGAGTCACAGGGAAGAGCCGGACGGTATACTCTCCCCCGTAGTCTTATGGGTTGGTAGGAATGCAAATGCTCATTTAAATCGGGCATGTATTAGACGCACACACACACACACAACAAACAACGCAGAGCTCGGGCTATCGTGCGATAGCTTTTGCTGGAAAATGATTTATGGCAGTCGGCGGGAAACTGTTACTAATTACTGCTGCGGTGCTGCTGCTGGTCCCACAATGTTGGCAGCATGCCATGCGGCATGTCAGCATTTGTCGCCATGCATTCCCATACAGGAGGGCAGCGGAGCAAAGCAAGTGTAGTACTGAGACATGTATCTCTTGTAGACTGTTTGAACTTCGTTGCACAACTTTCAACAAGTCGAAGATCATGTGATCTCACTTCGCAAAGACAGCTAACATCAGCTAACACATGTTTGCCTGCAGCATGGGCTGCATGGATGTACAACTACAAGCACGTGCTTTTGCAGGGCTTTTGGTTCTATTTCACAGTGTTCTGGCATTATGCAACGGTCGTGCCGGTACTACAAAGCGAACTCCGGCTTGGTGTCTGCAGTTGTGATGGCGATATGAAGACTCAGAGCTCAAAGCAAGCCTGCGTGTGACTCCGTCGCAGCTGGGCGCGGCGGCTTGGAGAGCTGCTGTGCGCCTTGGCTTTGCTTTGACAGGGTCATGAGCCGTGCCTAAACGATCCTCGGTTTTGGCTCCAAACGAGCCGGACGGAAAGGCGCAAACAGGCCAGCTAAGGATCAATTGGTTTCCGCTGCTGTGGCTCCAGGCTCCATCCTCGCCGATGCTTCGCTTGGACGGACTCTCGCTGGAAGCCTGCTACCACACATTCTGACCAATTTTCGTCAAGCTCATACTGATGTGCTACTACACTCTGCTAATACTATCGGGTGACATTGGCTTGGTTGTGGCCGCGTTGCCAGACTAGTGTGACACTCTGCAAGCGGTTCACAGAAGAAGTGTCGTATGGCATGCTTCCTGCATTATTGCTTCTGCGGCTGTTCTTTGTGAAGAGTCCTCTACATGCATGTCCTCAGCACTGCACGACTATACTAGAAACGTCATTAGCAACTCTACCAGATAAGCCGTGATACATCGTTTGGGCAAGTCCGTCACATCCACTTCGTACGTTTCTATGCTGACGTGAACTCCTGTCCTTGCAACTGTGTCTGCTGCTGGCCTTCCGTGACACCGCATGTCTATATTGCTAAACTACATAGGTATCACAACATGATGTTGCCACATGGACTGTCGTATTCTTGGTCTATAAGTCTATATCTGAGATGTTGTGACATGATACGGGTTTCGTTTACTAGCTTTCTGGTGTGATACCACTGCATATCTGCACTTCTATTTCACCTCTTGTTTGGTCTGAAGCGTATTGAATAGTTTGTCAAATCACTTCCAACATCATACATGGCCTGATTAGTGGTTCATCATGTCACCAGCTTGCCTGCGTAGCGCTCCTCCGCAGTGTCGGTCGCGTTGGTGAAGCACTCTTCGCCTGCCAGCTGGAGGCTCAAAGCTTGCGACATCGGGAGGCGAACATCCTGGTCCTACATCAGAGATTAGCTAGCAACGCCATGCTACCATGATGTGGCACAACGAAGTAAGAGGAAAAGAGTCCGATAGTTACCGAGATGAAGCCAAGCTGCATCCGTCTTTTCATGTATTATTGCCCGCATGTCCACCATGGAAAGACTGTACTACGTAGCACTGGTGCTATGAAGCCAGAGCATACCTCAGCCCTCACCTAGTGTTGTGGTCATCTACGAAGGGGTGGGTGCAACATAACACGGGACATTCTCACGAGCCAGCACCAGGCTAGTATCACAGCTAGGAAAAGATATCGTCCAAAAGCGACCCTGCAAGCGAACCCAGGCATCGAGGTTCTAAGACTGCGATGGCGATGTATCCACATGATAGCCTGGTGAGTCTGGCGAGATAAGAAAAGAGACACGCAGCACAGCGACTCAACGGATTGCTGCAGATTGTCCATGATGTGCTTCGGCTATATACTTAGGACTTAGGAGCCGGTCCACCCGGAAGTACCGTAGCTCATGACTCACCAGCATGGCAGCATGCTGAGATG